TATCTGCGAAGGGGGAGGGCAATGGCGGACACTTCTGCTTTCAATCGCTCGCAATTTTTCGTGTTTGTGGGCTGTAATATATCTGTTGCGGGTCTAGATAAAATTTTGAAATTATTACATGTAATAGTTCACTATGAGGTCAATCTTCATCATGAATTTCAACTTTGAAATTTGACTCATTATGTGTTTTAAACAATCGTGAAATGTACGTGAGAAGTACTTCATTGGCACCCGTTGTTTAATTGTTTATAGTTGAGTACACAATTTTTTATTTTGGTACAAAAATTAGTACATAATTAGTAGATAATGTTAGGCTAGTTGATTTTGAATTTATGAGAAGTGGGGGTGTCAGCTTGATGTCAAGCTAGCACCCCCACTTTTGGAAGTGTTTTTATTGTTTATAGTTGAGTACAATTTTTTTAATGTGGTACAAAATTATAGGCTAGTTATTTTTGAATTTCGAGCAAGTGGGGGTTGCACCTTGACAGAGATAGAACGAAGAATTATTGTGAATTTAGCCACGAGGGGAAGATCCCTACGAGATATTGCGATGACAATGGGAAGACCTCATTCAACTATTCAAGGAATGGTAGAACAATTGAAGTAGCAGATTAATTAATAAAATAGGCTGAGGTCGAAATCCTATACTCAACGTACGAGATGAAACAAACATTATCAATAACATCAGCACAAATCCTCGCCAAAGTATCGTTTAAATGACTCCGTGGGTGGTTTCAACAATAGGGAGAACTGTAGTTTTAGAAACTGTCTGAAAGGCACTACGAGACGCAGATTACAATGGGAAAGTAGCGAAGTAGCTTGGATTAGTAATCTGCACAATATATCGGTAGAAAATCTGCACAATATATTGCAGTTCGCGAAACAGTGATTTTCAGCAATAAAAGTATTCAAGATATTCGCATCAGATGGGCACATATGGAGGAAGATTTATTGATTCCACAGATAACAAATTTGGATATTAATATATATATATATATATATATATATATAATATTTATTAATTTTAGAAAGTAATGTCAAAGTGCAGTTAATATTGCACTGGGGCTGACGTATTACTTTCTGCAGGACAACGCGTTCATTCACAAAGCGCATATTGTGAACTTATGGTTGTTATATAATGTACAAAAGCATTGAATTGCATTTGCATGAGGAGAAGTTTAATTTATTATTTATTCAGTTATTTCAAGATATTTTGTTAAGTATGAATGAAGAAGGTTTGCATTCATTTCTATATTTATTTTGTACCTCATAATTCTGCAATAAATATTTTTTCTATGCATTTTGTATTTTTTTACGTAGTGTACGGTCAATTTTGAGAGCTACTGAACATAATTACAGAAATAAAATCTTTTCGACACGGAAAATCACGGTTTGCGATGCCCTGATGCCGAAAAAGTGATTTTTTCTTCAAAATGCTCGTTTGTTCGCAGTATGTCCGACCGATCCTTTGACCGAAGTTTTCGAAGGGGTAGTGCTGATGTCGCTGTATAACATGACGTAGACGCCACTTCTACGTTATCTTTTGATTTTTAACAAATTACACAAATGCATTTATTGAAATTTCTCTCATGTCATTAATATTTACATTATTAACGTTTTCTGTAATTTACTGCACATGTGAGAACAAGTGTTTCAAATAAATTCTGATGAAGTTTCTCGAAAACTCAAAGGTTTTGTTTGAAAATGAGCTCCAAATTGCGCACTTAAGGAAACACGCAAAAGGTCCTTATCAACGGCTCCAAATTTTCCAATGAACATGTGAGAAAATATGAAGTAGACTAAGGCGAGGAAAAGTGTGATTTGCCACGCGCCCATATGTAATATATAACATTTTATTCAAATATCGTTTAATACATAATCTGACCCTTTGATTTTGTTCAGCGTAATTCAAACTACTTTCAGAATATTTATAGAGAAATATATTTTTAAAATAGACTGTGAAAAGCGGCTCTTTTTTAGTTTTGTGGATCGCATACCAGGCCTTTTCCACTACAATGTGGGTAAAGTCATTTGATCAAAATCGTTGAGTAACGGTATAAACCATTAATATGCTTGTCTCGGACACAATATTGAAACTCGGAAAGTGTTGTTTAAAGCAGCGTGATCAAGGCCAAAGACTATGACACCTCTGACTCGATTGTCTCCGAGAGGAAGTAGTCGAGGCGAAGACAATGTCAATGAATTCACATATTTTTTTCGTAGTATAGTTCCTTTTTCTCACGGACAACCCAAGGTTTGTTATTCTCGCACCTGACAGCGATTTTTACTCGTAAACAAGCTTGCTTCTTTCAGTGCCGCTGCAGCCTCATTGGGCCTAAAGGCGCGTTTACACGGAGAGAGTTTACACGGAGAGTTGGTTCCTGAGATATCTCCGGAAAAGTATCTCCTTGCTGTTTACACTTGATACAAATGTCTCCTCGATGTTTCCCCCAGGTCGCAGACCATTCACTCTCTTGAATAAGCAGCGGCGAGCGCAGTTTGAGGTTATAATGTGGACAACTGTTTCACCTGCTGTGGCACTTTAACAATTTTGAAGAAAGCGAGGAAAAGAAAGAGACAAGTTTGAGTGATTTTGTTTTCTTGAGAAAAGAAGAAATGAGTTTATAAAACTTTGATGGCGGAATTGCAAAAGAGGAGTTTTTTTAAAAATATTTATTTGCTACCTGTCTCCATGCATTACATTTTTTCATGACAATAAAATGAAACAAGTTTAATTTACGGAGGATTAAAATATTATTTGGAAAATGTGGTCGGAGTCTAGGATGAGGAAAATAGTTTTGCACTAATGTAAAAGTTTGAAAACTAGGTGAGTTGATATTTTGTTTTAGAAAACTTTTAGTGAAGTTAAGTTATATAATTGAAAAGAATCAATTTAAAGTTCTCTGTAAATTTGTGTTATGATATAACACGGTTTAAGATAAAGATGTATAAAATGTTGCGAAAGGATTCGATTTATTTGAAATTTTGTGTAATATTTGTGGTATAGTAGGCATGACACCTAGGCGCAGGCATATAAAAGCGAAGACCTAAGTATGGTTTTATATATACAAATATTTACTCAATTGATCCGTAATTTGAAGTTTTATTTATTATTAAAGGATGTCAATACAAAATAATCTATTAACAACAATAAGTAGTCAATGTACCAAAACTTCGTAATTTTCAGAAGAATTTGAATTTTTTATTAGGAAATATCTCACGGCAATCAAAAAGCAAGAAAAGTGGAAAATAATTTATTTTCGGAAAGAGACTTGGTTTGACGGTACGGGGTTTTTGTCACAGGAAATACATACAGTTCTTTGTCATTGTATTTATAATTCCTAGTATATAATTTCCCACAAAGAACAGAATCAACCGACACGTTGGAACCGCCGACAGACACAGACAGACGCAGAATGGCTAATCGAGCACGTGAACACTCATATATATTCGTATACCAAGAGAGCAAAACAGTCTCTTCAACTCTTCTCTTGTCAATACTTATTTCATCTCTCCAGGTGATACGCATTCTTCATTGATTCTCCATGTCCTTTCTACAGCTTTGTTCTCTCCCTAGCGCGAGACTTCGATAAATTCTTGTGACCGTCATGTCTCGTCAGAGAAATCTCTCCTGAAGAGTTTACACTGCGCTCTCAATTCTGTTGCGGAAGTTAGGAGAGCAACACACTTCCTCGTGTAAACGCGTGCGGCCGGACGGACATCCGGCGGACCGGACGTCGACGATCGCCGGCTCTGCGACACGTTCGTGTTAAAGGACGGACGTCGGAAGGACGGACGGACGTCGGGCGGACGGACGTGGGACGGTCGGACGGACGTGGGACGGACGGACGGACGTCGGACGGACGGACGTCGGACAGACGGACGTCGGTCGGACGGACGAACGAACGTCGGACGGACGGGCGTCGGACGGACGTCAGACGGACGCGCACACGGTCGGAGGCGAAGACGGTCGGACGCGCAGACGGATGTTTTGAAAAGAACCACTTTGTCGCTAACAGTTTACCCCCAAAATATGTATATCCGTTGAAATATAGAAATCGATTTTCCGCAGCATTTCTTTCACTGTACTATGTTTATTGCTCCGTATGAGGGAGAGTGAAACATTTCTCTAAAAAAATTGTAAGTACTGAGAGCTAGTTTTTGGTAATACTAATGGTGGTTTACTGCACACAAGTATAGCATTTATCATCTTTTTTTGTATTAGGGCCAAAACGTTTTCTGACAAAAAATATCCCTTGCAGCATTACAATTCTACGGTGCATGTTCGTTCAAACTTCAATATTGTACTTTAGCGATGTTAGTTCTTTTTATTTTTCAAAATACAAAGAGATCGTCGGAAACATGATGAGAATTTTATTAGATTTTGACGCATACGAGGAGAAAATTTTAAGAAAAATTTGGAATAGGGCCTTTATAAATTGCGTGTTTATAAGTAAAAAATACTTAATTTAAGGTGTCTTTGAACAACAAAGTTTTGAGGATTTGAAGAATGAGGATTTCAACGAAATTAGACCCGCGTATTACACACACACACACACATACACACACACACACATACATACATACATAAGACGCAGGGGTCTTGGTAGGGAGAAAAACTGGTTCATTGATCGCATGTGAGAGCAATACATGAATTCTGGTGAATTCCTGGATTTATTTAATCCTCAATTGCATAAAAGAAACAAAGTAACGCCTAAATTTTTGCTCAAATCATTTCCACCACATTAACATCTTTTCGATCTGTTTTCATTTACAAATTGTATTACAGCTTCTAATTGGGATCCCAAGCAAATTCGCTTAATGAACACCCCTTGGTTCTCCATTCTCTTAGTTCTCACGTTTGAAATTGGAACGTGAATTTAATTACACAAGATACGCTTCTAATTCCTTCCCTCCCCAGTTTCTGTACTAGATTTGGGCCATCTAAACACAATTGCTCTTTCACCAAAACAAAAAGGTTTTATACTCAGCGTTCGTTGTCACCGGCTGCCGCGATCACCAAGGACCGGCTCCGGGCCACCAGGAATTCTCTCGCGACGCCTTCGGAATGTGTAGCGACGTCTCCCGCCCTCGTCCAGCCGTCCTCCACGCCACGTCCTCTTCCGGTCTTCGTCCAATCGTCCTCTTCCTCGTCGTCGTGCGCCGCCCCGCCATTCCTCTGGAGCGCGTTTCTTACGAATTAGGCTTTCGTCGAAGAAAAAAAGTAGTTCGTGCGCTCGTAGATTAGAATGACCACTATTCACTAGAGTAGTTTATTTCTCTCATAAAATTCGCTATTATTTGCTGTCTTCTAATGACACAGTTCATTCAAATTATTACTTACTCCAGTACTGCTTTTTCGGCATCCAGCATTAATAATGCCTCGACTAAATTCGATCGCAAAAACACTGCGCTCTCCACTGAACATTACAAGTCCTAGCCTCGCTAATCACACAACCTCTTCATTTCCGCTGCCGAGATCAGAAGAAGGAATCTTCCGACTGCCCTCTGGTCAATTTCCTCCCCCACATTCTCCTTCGCTGACGTCAAGCCCACTTCCCCTTTCCCTGCGGTTAGCCGACACTTATAGTTCTTGAACGTGTTCTGCTTTGAGCGGCAACTTCGAACACATCCTATGAATCCCCACATAATAATTTCGTCATAATATACATTACAGACATTTCTATACATAAATGTAATGGTGAGTTGAAGTGCTTCAAACAATTCCCAATGGCGTGTGTTGAAAACACATTTTTCGATGAAAATGCATTTTTCAGAAACGCTCAAATATTTTCTTAAAAACTGCTCAAAAATTTGCGTGTATGGCGGGGTGTAACTCTTCTATTATACTCTTTAAGTCGTATTTCACACGACCGACAAATTTAGGTAATGTGAAAATTGAAATAAATTCCCTTTAGGCGGCAATATATAGCAGTTGGGAAGAGGCTGGGGCAAAACCGGAAAGATAGCCACGTTAAAGAGATTAGAACACTAACTCGTACGAGAAAATCAATGTCATTTTGTAGCTCCTCTAGTTTCTAGATGTTTCACATTTCTTGTGCACTGAAGATTTCTTCCAAATATTTTTGTGTTCTTGTGCTGGAATGTCCAACACTTTAATTTGGTTTCAGTTTCTCATACAAGTATGTACTTTTCTCGGTATGGCAGCAATGCAATACACTCAGCCATGAACCCAGCGCTGATAACGAGATTATTAAAATCAAGGCTGTTTCCTCCAAGGTGAGAATGAAGGTTTTCGTTAGTTTGTGTTTCCTTTGATGTGAAGGTTTGAAGCTCTATCGAGTTGAAAACTTTCAAGTGCGTCTCACATTATTGGCACCTACTGACTTAAAACGAATCTGTGGGGAATGGGTAAAATATTAAAAAATATGAATTCAATTTCGTAAGTGATTTTCAGAATAAGTGAAAGAAGAAGTTAATAATCAACGGAAAGCTTATTTGTAAAGTGAATTATTTAACAAAAGGTTATTTCATTGCTTTTATTTACGAAGCTGAAAACTAATGTTTGGTTTTCGTACACTATATATAAATAATTACCCAAAAATAATGAGTTTAATAACAGATTAAGTCTAAAAGTTGAAAAATAAATCATCGAAGAGGTGAAATGCGAGAAAAGTATTCGACTCACTGTTTTGACATTCTTTTTATTGCTTGCATTGCTATTAAATGTTTAGTATGAATATTAACTGTGTAATCAACCTTCAGCATTCTAGTCACAGTAAAATCTAGTGGTGCTAAAACAGCACGTACTTTCTCGCCATTTGTAACGGTTATGTAGACACAGCCATTTCTCTCCGAAATAACTCATCTCAGTTATCATTTTTGTACAACTCTTTTAAAATCATATAACATTTGATCCGAAAATTGAATAGTTACAAGTAATTATTCAAAACTTTCAATGAAAATATATTTCTAGCATTGAATTCATTGAATAAGTTATTCAATTGGGTATAAGGTATACATTGAATAAGGTATTCAATGTATTCGTGAACATATTCCATGCGATATTTAGCTTTACAATATTCTGCGTTTACAGTATGCCACAAAGTGAAATAATTAAAAAGTTTATAAATAATACTATCCTCCAGTGACGGAGACGGCAGCTGCGTATCCTTCAGCGCATAGTTGCAGGCACATGAAGGGTTGGCATGTACATTTTATAACACAGCAACATTGATAGCATTGGCAAAGTAATGCAAATATATCGAAAAATATGTAATAGTATTTATTAAATACTATAACATTACTTGTAATATTCTCCAAATATGCTGGTTTTAACACAAGTTACATGTTACTCCCCTGTCTGAACATGTACTACTAAATGCTCTATACGTTTTTACACCTAAGAAATTTCCCCCAAATTGTCTTTACTAACTGAAGAACAAACGTTTCGTTTTCATCTGCTTTGAGAATTAAACATGTAATTAGGGTAGCGGTACAAGATTTTACAAAAACGTTTACAGAATACATTTCTTCCCATGGTACGTCAAACTCTGTGTTTCTGTTTTTGACGTTAAATAAAAAAATACAAATAATCAATGAACAAAAAAATAAATCAATAAAACCTCATAGTGGTTGCATATCAATGTTCAAGAAAGAGAAAGCATTTCACATTTCATTGCCTTACATTGTTGCCATTTAACAATGAGCTTCTCAAATATTGCTGCATTGTTTCCCATGGCAGCGTAGGTAGTACTATAAAATAAAAATGTTCGTACCTAGTGGTGCTACATCAACACATACTTTCTTGCGTAATTGGAAACAGCTACGTAATACTGAAATATTGCATTTTTTGCGCTACTAACACCTCAACCATTATTTCAATTCAACCAAGTCAATTGAGCCATTATTTCCAATACAACATCCAATTCAACCAAGAAGTGAGCAATGTACTATTGCCAGCGCATCGTTATCAAAACTGTGCATTCGCTTCGATAATAATATCAATACAGTAATTAGAATAAATACATAAATATGTATTAGACATCAAAATAATTATGAACATTCCTGCGATGACTTTCGTCGTAAGATAACGGATCCTATAGAGTTTCATCACTGACTTCTTCAGATACGATAAACACTATTGCTATTGCTATAAACACTATCCATCCACACTTCAGATAAGATAAACACTATTGCTTTTCAATAGAGCGTTCATGGTTTCTCGAACGAGAGATGATATAAACAAACAAGTGCTTCTCAATCGATGTGGCATTGTTGTGAAAATACTATTAAGCTTTGCGGATTGCTTAAAAAGAAATACATCAATACATTGAGAATACACATTGTGTAAAAAGTAAAAAAGGGAGAAAGGAAAAATTGAATTAATATTGGCATTTTCAATACGAAATTATAATTAAAATTAAATTTTTTTTTTTTCATATTTTTCTCTTGACCCGTAGTTGGTGTGAAACCTGTATATATTTCATTAATATATATTTATTTAAATATATTTATATTTCAAGCAGAGATTTCGCAAAAACAACTCCTTTTTGCAAAACATGACCTTTTTGTACATGACCTTTTTAAATTGCTTATTTTGTATAATAGGCTTTGTGTGAAACAAAATCTATCTTCAATTTTGTAGTTTTGAAATGTTTTGGGCAATTTTCTAAAAAACGAGCCATATCTCAAAATGAGACAAGCGCCATATTTCTCACCGTTACCACATATGTGAAGAAAATGTAAAGAAATAATTTGGAGCGGTTTTTGAGATTTTTTTGTAAATTTCAATCGCAAATTACGCAAAAACTACTGGTTTTTGCAAAAAATGTACGTGGCCTTTTTTAAAGAACTAATTTTGTACAACAGACTTTCTCTGAAGCAAAAATCTCTATCTTGACTTTTGAAGTTTTAAAAATAGTTTTTCCAAGTTTCAAAAAATCGGGGATGTCAACGTAAATGAGAGCTGCACCATTCTCTTCTTAAACGTCCTTTGCACCATTCAACAACAAAGTTAAATTAAAAAAAATAAGCAATTTTTTGAAAAGTTTGAAAATGTCACAGCGGTAAAAAATAAAAATTTCGATTTTAAAATCAAGGGTTCGTGACATCATCTAGAACGATCGGTGCATATCAATTTTGGAGAAAATCGGCTGATCGGTTTGTGCGTTAGCATTATGGACAGACGGACGTTTGGTCGACATTCTATTTGTCGGTATGAAGGATCCACAAAACATGGATTCTGACTACACCACAAGTTTGAGGATTTTTCTATATTTGATTTTTCTATATTTAGCAACTCGATTTATGCACATTTTCCTTGCCAGGGTCCGACAATAACAGTTTTTGTGAGGAAAATTTGCCGTTTTCCGGCACACGATTACAATACTTTCTTTTAGTACCTTAGTAAGTGCGCGAAAGTAAACTAGTGGTGCTACAAAACTGCACAGACTTTCCCGTATTAATTTTCTACTTTTTTTAGTCTCGGCTAGTTACTCGGAACTGCCACATCCTTATTGCAGCTGCCATCTATCGCCGCCCAAAGTACATTTTTTTGAGATTTTCTTAATTTTTCGGTTTCCTAATTGTAAAGCGGAAATATTATTTAATGAATATATAAGAAAACAGAAAACATTCGTCCTAAATGGAAATTTTCTTTCAAAAATTTGAAGCCGTTTCTAAATAACTGGCATTTAAGCGCTACTATAATTACGAAATTGGAAGCTCTTTTTCACAGAAATTTTTTAAGTTTTCGAAAAACTTCATTTGATGACATTTTGACTACTTTAACCCGCAAATACAATAGTGTTTACAAATTGATGGAAATACGCATATCAACTGCGTGAGCAATATTTAAAAACATTTACATTTGTGTAAATTTAAAGAAACAAAAAAATATACTAAAAACAACTTTACATCATATTAAAGTTATATTAGCATTATCCGTTCGAAATGTTGAAGAAACAATTTGGAGCCGTTTATGAGAACATTGGCGATTGAACCTATCTGAAAATGCGGTGATTTCAGCTAATTTTCACCGAATACGGTAGAGTTTTCTAGAAACTTTATGTGACATATTTTATGCACATGTATTCATGAAATCAATACTGTCAACAAATGGTTGCTAATATAAATATTACGACACGAGAGACAAGTCAAACAAATTACATTTGGTAATTTTTGAAAAAAAAGAGAGCAATATGGCGTTAATACCACATTAAAGAGAATATTTGGCATAATCTTTACCAAAAGTTCAAAGAAAAAAGTGTGAGCCGTTTTTGAGAAAATCTTGTTTGTGTATTTTTTTTAAATTGCACACAATTTTGTAATTGTAGGAAGACCCCCAAAAATATCATTATTTTGAAGTTTTCGAAAGTTTAGAGTTTACCGTGAAAATCAGATCTATGCCACCTTTATAAGTGTATTTTACTCTATTCTTACATGAAATTTAAAGACAAATTTTTGAAGTTTTTGAGAAAACTTTGAAAGTGTCCGGATGGCTTCGTGTAAAGTACCTCAAAGAGTGTTTTTCAAAATCTTAAAGTTTTGACTCGAA